CAAAATAGGTTCAGTTCTTAGCTCTGTTTCAGCTGGTGGTGCTGATTTTAATATTTTCATGCTAATTTTGAGCCTGTTTAGCTCTATTTTGTGATATTTTTCGGTTCAGTTGTGAGCTCTGTTTCAGCTGGTGGTGCTGATTTGGATATTTTCATGTTGATTTTGAGCTTGTTTAGCTGTATTTTGTGATGTTTTCGGTTTAGTTCTGAGCTCCGTTTGAGCTGGTGGTGCTGATTTTGATATTTATATGTTAATTTCAAGCTTGTTTAGCTCTATATTGTGATTTGTGAGCTCTGTTTGAGCTGGTGTTGTTGTTTTTGTTATATTCGTGCTAATTTTGAGCTTGTTTAGCTCTATGTTGTGTGGGAATAGGTGTTTTCTGAGCTCTGTTTGAGCTGTTGGTGCTGATTTTAATATTTTAAGCTGGTTTTGAGCCTATTTAGCTCTATATTGTGATCTTTTTTGGTTTAGTTTTTTGCTCTGTTTGAGCTATTGGTGTTGTTTTTATTTTTATTATGCTGATTTCGAGCTTGTTTAAACTCAATTTGAGCTTATGGCAATGATGATGGTCAACTAAAAAAGATTGCAAACTAATTTACAATGTTCATAATAAGATAAGGCGTTCTCGTATGCTATGTGAACTTGTACATTTCAGTTGAGGCAATCAATTTTAAAAAAAGACCAATAGCTGAGCCAACTTACTTCGTGAAAATATTAAATTACGACATGAAATTGCCAAAGTGGTATATGATTTGTTTAGATCATTGGTTTTGATCTAACCAAAGTAAATAAACTTCTAGTCCACGATGCTGGCCAATAAACTTCTAGTCCACGATGCTGGCCAATTCCCTCTTTACCCATGTTGGGCACAGACCCATTGTTACCAACATCCGTGCGCGTGAGTTAAGAGATCATTCATGTTTCAATTTGTTTGGGGGATATCATTGCAATAGGGACACTTCCACCACCCGTTTTAATCTCTAAATTTCAAAGCATTGCCTCTTAGCATCATTTCTACTTCTTCCATTATATCCCACATCTCATCACACTCTCGATCTTCATCTGTATATGAAAATAATTCTTCATATGTTGGTTTCTGCGGTAGTTTCCGAGCACGCTGATTACAAAGAAGAAACAACAAGTCTGTGGTCATTGGGAAAATACTTTTGGGAATTTGTAATTTTTTAGCCAAAATACATACATTTGGATTTGATGAACTTGACGAGTCACCACGGTCTCTAACACTCTTACTCATTTTTTCAACTATGAAAATTTTATGTTCATGGATAGTTGAGGATAGAAGGATTTTATAAGATTTGAGCATGCCAAACTAGCCGTTAAAATAGCCATTGTAAAGTGATGAATATGGTTGTTGACACTTTTCTATAAATTTGGCATATGTAACCAAGCAAAAGAAAAGGAAAACTTGCTATTTCAATAAGTAATGAGCCTATTTTCTTGTTTTGAACCAAACAAACAAAGTGCAAAAAATAAAAAAATTTATACTTTTTGACTTCTCAAGACTTTTCTTATAATTTTTTAAAAGAAATACAAGAAAATCTATATTTTGGGTGTTTCCTTTTTCCTATTGTTTATAGAAATTGAACCAAACACCTCCTAACTAACTTTGGGTTTAAGTAATGATTGATTAATGAACCTAGAATTTTAGGGTGTGTTTGGCAACTCGCTAAATTTATTTTAGGTGGTATAACATTGTCAGGTTTAAATCTGGTCTCATTTTGGGGAAAATTTTGTTTGGATAAAACTGAGTCTAGCCTGATCAAGTTTTTCTAAAGCTTTTAAATCAATTTTGCTTTGGACCACACCCTCCTTGGTTCAAAAGAAGACTAGTCTTGTTTGGTTCTGACTCGATTTTAGGATAGTTGTCAAACACACCTTTAGGTTGATAAAAATTAGGTCTGAGTTGAACTAGTTCTTTCCGGTTTAAAATCTAGCACCTAAACTAGTTCTTTTGTGATCAATTCTTATCTGGCTTGGCTAAGAAGAAATTAGTCCAGGCCCAACTCTATTTTGAAATTGCCAAACACACCTATATGCGATGATTTAAAAGCATATATTCAACTAGCATATTATTAACAAAGTAGGTCAAATTATTGGGCAATGTTAGTGGTCGGATTTACGAGAAGAAAGTGAAAGTTCAGTGAGTAATGTGCGACTGAAAATATATAGGCGATTAAACGATGACAAATGTAATAATTTAGTTATAAGAAAGGACTGAAAATAATTCATAAGGTATTCAGGGAGAAATCTAATAGTTTGGAGGGTAGTTAGAGCATGGGCAGCAACCTCCCAGCTCCGCTCTCAGGTCCGACGTGACCTCAGTCTCCGATTTATCCCCTTCCAACAGCCTCCGAAGCGCTCCCAAGAACCTCCCAGCAGCTGACGTGGCGACCTCCAGCGGAGATGATTCTTGATGGCGGAGATGATGGCGGAGATGATGTCGACGAATTTGATGGATGATGGCGGAGATGATGGCGGAGATGATTCTTGATGGCGGAGATGATGGCGGAGATGATGTCGACGAATTTGATGGATGATGGCGGAGATGATTCTTGATGGCGGAGATGATGTCGAAGGGAATGAGTTGTTTGAGGTGAAGATGAATTTGGGGTTGGGTCTGTTGTCGAAGGGAGAAGATGAATTTAATTTTGGTTTTTTAACGGAGTGCGTTGTTTGAGGTGAATGAAAGTTGTGAAATTTTCGAACGTTGTGGAAATTTTCGTTGAAATTGTGCGGAGATGATAATCGAACGTTGTGAAAATGAGCCGTTGAAAATTCATGTCATTGGAAAATGATACGTTGTGAAATTTAGAACGTTGTGAAAATTGGACCGTTGAAAAATATTACTGTTGAAATATTACTGTTGAAATATTACTGTTGTAAAAAACATCTATAAATTCACATCTCACTACTCAAAATATTTCACACAACTCTCTCATAAAAAAAACTCTATATATCCCTATCAAATTACAAATCTCATGGATCCCTCACAAAACTATTATTCGCATCTCCTTACCGGTGAAGGATCGACCTTATACTCGCCGTTCTATACAGAAGTCGGAGAAGAAGGCCATCCCATCGAGTTCTCGCAATCCGCAACACAACAAGTGTCATCCCAAGAAACACCGACCACAAAGAAGAAGAAGGCTTACACGCGGTCCGAAAATTGGACTGTCCACGAGGATAAGCTTCTTGTGTCTGCTTGGCTGAATACGAGTCAAGACGCCATCCAAGGTACGGGGCAACACAAAGATAAGTTTTGGCACAGAGCTAACGACTACTTTATCCAATACTCCACCGATCCAATGAATCGCACACCAAACCAAATAATGCACCGTTGGTCAACGATCCAACTATTTGTCAACAAGTTCTGCGGGTGCGTTGCTCAGATTGAAGGAAGACAAAGATCTGGTACGGGAATTATTGACCAGGTAAATATTTAACTTATATGTTTTTATGTAAATATTTAACTTATATGTTTGATTATTCTAAATTTAACTCTTGTGTAGACTACAGAAGTAAAAGAATTATATCAATCCCTTTATGGTAAGCCATTCGTGTTTGACCATTGTTGGGTTGAGTTGCGTCATCACCAAAAGTGGATACAACAAAAGGAAAATTACAATAAGATTCGATCACAGCCGAGAAGAACCACGAACTCTGATTCCTCACCAAACAATTCCATGCCAGCGACCCCCATCGAGTTGAACATTGACTCGGATGATGTTATAGCAAGGCCTGAAGGGAGGAAAGCGGCAAAACTCAAGAGGAAACAAAATGTGGACAAATCTGAGTCCGCTAAGTCCATTATGGGAGAGGCTTTCGCGTGGATGAAGCAAACCAACAAAGAAAAATGGAGCTAAAACAGAAGAAACAAGATGACGATATCATGAAGATCGATCTCTCAACACTCAATTCAGTTCAACGTCAATACTTTGAAATGCGTCAGGCAGAGATTTTGGAGAGGTGGATGTCCAAGGGTTCTTCCTAATTATCATATATTGTACTCGCATCGCATCCTCATTAGTTCTTCCTAATTATCAAATATTATCTTATATTAGATTTATGATTGTCCTTGAAGTTGAAAATTTTGGCATTGAATGAAAACAACTACTTTATTGAAAATAAAATTGGCGTAGTACAACAACTTGAACTCTTTTTCTGAAATTACATTAGACATAAAGAAACTTAATCCTCGGCGATGGATCCCTTAAGCTGCCACAGATGCTCGATCAAATCATTTTTTAGTGATTTGTGTGTTTGCGTGTTCCTGATCCGATGATGATTTTGGATGAACTCAGTTAGAGGTACCGTCTGCACATGAGAAGGTTCAACGACTGGTACCGAATCAGTAAAGTCGAAGTTGTTGTCCAATTGTCAATCACGTTCATCTTCAACGATCATGTTATGCATTATGATACAAGCTGTCATGATATCTTTCAGCACACAAGGTTGCCAGAAACGTCCTGGTCCACGGACAATCGCAAATCGAGCTTGCAACACGCCAAAAGCTCGCTCAACATCTTTTCTTGCGCTTTCTTGTTGTATCGAGCTTGCAACACGCCAAAAGCTCGCTCAACATCTTTTCTTGCGCTTTCTTGTTGTTGAGAAAAGTGCTTATGCTTGTTTCCTCGATGTGCTGGAATAGTCTTCACTAATGTGGACCACTCTGGGTAAATCCCGTCGGCTAGATAGTATCCCATATTATACTCGTGGCCATTGACAGTATAGTTGCACGGTGAAGCTCTTCCCTCCGCAAGTTGTGCGAAAACCGGTGAACGATGTAGAACATTAAGGTCATTGTGAGACCCCGGCAGTCCAAAGAAGGCATGCCATATCCAAAGATCTTTGCTAGCTACGGCCTCCAAAATAATTGTGGGTTCATGAAAATGTCCAGTATACATACCTTGCCAGGCAGTTGGACAGTTCTTCCATGTCCAGTGCATGCAGTCGATGCTCCTAAGCATACCAAGAAAACCTCATTGTGAGCCTTCCTCGAGCAGGCGTGCAACGTCTTCATTAGTCGGTGCACGAAGGTATTCCTCTTCAAAGATGTTGATAATCGATCGAACGAACCTCTTCACGCTCTCAAGCGACGTACTTTTACCGATCCGAACGTAGTCGTCAACGGAGTCAGTGGATGCTCCATATGCGAGCATCCGCATAGCTGCAGTAATCTTTTGAAGACTAGATAGTCCTAACTGTCCAGCACCATTCCTCTTTTGGACGAAGTACTTGTCATGTTCGACGACTGCGTCGTGGATTCGAAGGAATAACGAACGCCTCATTCTGAACCTTTGACGAAAATAATAAAGAGGATAGGTTGGTGCGTCAGCAAAATAATCTTGGAATAACCGATTGTGGCCTTCCAGTCGGTTTCGATGGAGCACGATACGTCGTTTGTATTGAACTGAAGTTGAACATTTCTCTTGTTCTTCTTCCTCAACGACAACAGCTCCCATAAGAAAGAACTTCTTCATCATCGCTAGAGCTAGATGAGCTAGACATTTTATTCTGGGAGATGATGGGTTGAGGAGAGAACCCGTCGAATTTTATAGGCATCAGTCGGTTGACGGCCAAAGTTTGCGATACCTCGAACTTCGTGCCCAACATCGAAGACCGCGGGTTACATCGATGACCGTGTGCGTTCCCTCAAAAGCCGCGGGTTACCTCGAAGACCGTGTGCGCTCCCTCGAAGACCGCGGGTTACCTCGAAGACCGTGTGCGCTCCCTCGAAGACCATGGGTTGCCTCGAAGACCGTGTGCGCTCCCTCGAAGACCGTGGGTTGCCTCGAAGACCGTGTGCGCTCTCTCGAAGACCGTGGGTTGCCTCGAAGACCATGTGCAACGGTTAGAAATAAAATACAAGAGGTTTAAATATAATTAAAAGTAATGGGTGAAATATTAAAATAGAAAAGAGGTTTTTTTGATATTGTTGGAGCTCCTAACTAGGAGCTTGTTGGAGCTCCATAAAAGAAGGATTGCCTCCCAAGGTATAATTTGTTAATTTTTTATTTTGAAAAGCTTGAGAGCTCTTGAGAGCATGCTGAGTAGGACTCCCAACTGGGAGCTTGCTGCACTTGCTCTTAGGAATCAGAGCCATTATTTGGTATGAAAAAATTCCCCAATGACCCAAAATATGGGACCAATAGAGGGGACAAGTGAGGTGTCCCCCTCTTATTGGATAATGAGTTGGTCATCATTAATGATGGCCAACTCATTATCCAATAAGAAGGGGACACCTCACTTGTCCTTCCTATTGGTCCCATATTCTGGGTCCCCGTAGAAAAGCTCTTTGGTATGAGTCTCCCGCTTTAGGGATGAGTGATTTGCTATCCACCAATGTTCTTTTAGTATTAAATTGGGGCACGTTTGAAATAGATGCTTGTGTATTGATACATTGGCACATTGTACTGCTAGTTACAGGATTTGACTATTGACATATTTATGGAACTTAATTGTCGGTGACGGACAAGGCAATAAAAAATAATAACATTTACCTCACTTTGCAACGAAAGAGAGAACACAAATTTATCTATAGTTATTGTTGTAACGACCGTAAATTTTCAATACTAGTTAAAATAATTTTCTAATATTTTATAATATTAAATTTTATTTTTAAAAGAGTATTTGTATTTTCTTAATTTTCTAGAATTTTCTATAATTTAAAAATCTATTTTTATAATTATTGTAATTATTTTGCTAATTATAAATTAAATCGTTGCATTAGAAACTTTTAATTAATTATGAAATAATATAATTATTATTATTATTATTAATGATCTTGTTGTTAATTTTAGCCCGCACCCTTTATCTCCCTACCTCTATATATATAGCTGTTAGCAGTCAATCTACACACGCATTACACAGCTAACTTCAACCTTCTGAAAATAAATATATCCTTGTAGCTCATAACACCCCAGCACAACGTGTACAACATTTCCTGTATTCCACGTCAAAATTTATTAGCACTCACCTTTTCCTATTTAACTTCCTTAATTATGCAATAGCGCCGCTTCATGCCGAATACGCCAAACCCATTAGTTTCTGTCCCTCCCTATTTCTTCCCGCTCCTTTTGACGAAACACTCCGCCAAAGATCGCGGCTCCACGAGTTCCACCGCACTCCTTCAACGCCCTCACTACCCCGCGACTGTCGCCTCCGAGCTCCACCTCCTTCCCACTCGATCATACTCTCGCCGTCTGTGCTAGCCTTAGCTCCTGCGGCCGCCTTGGCGCTGCACAAAGGCTCGCGACGTTCTCTGTCGCCACCCCTCCTCTCGTCGTCGTCGTTCCCGCTGAGCTCAGCCCAGCCAAGCTTCGGCCTCCCTCACCGCTGCCCTCTCACGGCGGTTACGCCGCGCTGGTCAAACACCGCCAGTCACCCCAAACCCACGCCTCCAACAGCCGCAGGGCCAGCCCCGGGCACTTCACACGCTGTCACGCCGACGCCGCCGTCCAACTAAGCCCTTGCCTTCTTTACTCTGTCCCTTCATTCTTCTTCTCCGGCACCACCGCCAGCCTCGTCGGAGCCCACCGAGACACCCCGATGACACCAACAACCTTCTCACACCTCCGGCAAAGTCCGAACAGCGAGAAGAAGCTCCAAACAGCGAGGAACGACCCCGAACAGCGACTGAACTGCACTGCAGAAAACTACAGCTTTGTGCCAACTTCGCGTGCACTTTCCGATCACCTCCGACCTCCGTTTTCATTGATTTTTTCTCCGGTGAGTAGCCCTACATATTGCTTATCACCTCCAATTTGTATTACGCTCTAACTCACTCTCTATCTCTCTCTGTAACGTCCGAAACATCGCTCGATAGCAGCAGTTTGCGGATTCTGACAGATTCATGCCGACTTTGCACGCGCTTTCCGGCCACCTCTGGTCTCCGTTTTCGTCACCGTCTTCGCCGGTGCATAGCCCTTCGTGTTGTCTATCACACGGTATATTCATTTCACTTGGGCTCCTTATCTACACCTTGTTATATTCGTTTGAATATCACACGTCACAATAACACTCTAAGTTGTAATTTTAGCCATTGATTCCGCGAAACCCGTCGTAACACCGTGCAACCACCCCCGACGACCCCCACTGTAGTTGACGACGTACCCGAGGCAAGATCCCACTTGTTCAGATCTGAATTTTGTATTTATTATGAATTATCTGTAATTTAGATCTGTTAATAATTGTTTGCGTGAGATAGTTTGATGAGTAATATTAGATAAATCATAATAATATGATAATTAGTATTTTCAGAATAATTATGACAAATTAAAAGAATTTATTTCGACAGTGAAATTATTTTTGGATAATTATAATAATTAAAAAGAATTTATTTGAGAACAAAATCATTTTAAGAAAATTATAATAATTTAAAAGGAATATCTTGGAAAAAGAATCTTTTAGAATAATTATAATAATTTTTAGAATTTATCTTGTGGAAGAAATCATTTAGAATGATAAATATTTTTAAAAAAGAAATTATTTTGGGAAATATACTATTTTGGAAATAATGAGAATTTATCTTATAAAAAGATTATTTTTGAATTTATGAATTTATTATCTTAAAAGATTATTTTTAGAATTATTATAATTAGAAAAGAACTTATTTTGGAAAAATGGATTATTTTGAAATTAAATTAAAGAATTTAAATTGTAAAAGGAATTGTTTTAAGTAAATAACTAAAGAATTTAAATTGTAAAAGGAATTGTTTTAAGTAAATAACTTTATTATTTTAGAAGATTATTTTAGAATAATTTTATGATTCAAACTCTTAATTTTGATTATCTGATATGCTATGATATTATTGTAAATGATTAGTTACATTGATTGTTCCTTGTTATGATTGGGAATCGTTAGGAGTTTATGACTATAGTGACATGTGTAACATGAATAAGACCTAGAGATTTGTGTGTGCTGACTTAGCAAAACGAGAAGAATTGGGATGGGAAAGTCATGGTTCATGTGATCGGATAAGGCTGTTGATGTATCTTCCAGGCTCGCGCCAGTGGTTGGTGTCGTCACTGGGGTTGGTTTGTAGGGCTAAAGTGAAGTGTGTACATCACTTTGGTCAGTGGGAAATTTATTTCGTCACCCGGGTTCTGTTTGAAGTTCGGGCCAGGCAGAAACGGATTGCGTGCAGTCCTCTAGGCAGCATGTGTAGCGGGATTGGATGCACGTAGGGGATTTGTGAACAGTCAGTTATCCGATGATAGGAACATTGGCTCTATGTGAGATATGTATCAGTGACCTGTTATAGAATGGCTAGTTACATGACCTTGTTACCGATCGATTTTGGATTCTTCTGATTATTATATTCTAGTGGTGGCCCACGCAGGTCACGGTCAGATCGGGATTAATATTTAATTATCTACAATTTGAGACTATGGTATATACATGAGGGTTTCCTTATTTGGATTATTTCGCTCGACGTACTGCGTCTCGAGTTGTAGATTTTTAAGTATTAATTCCAGCTAGTGTATGACCCAGTACTTGGATGATTATTCTGATCGCTAGCTGCATGATCGACTTGTTACTTGGTTGATTTCCTTGGATTTATTCTGATTATTCTATTCTAGTAGTAAACTATATTTAGATTATTAGTATTTTAGTTGCATGTTTCCATTGTTATTACTATTATTGCATTGGTCGCACGACCGTTCTATTCTTCTTTTTGGGATCTTACCGTGTGCCATGCACGCTGACATACTCCTTTCTCTCGGGATGTACGTTAGATTTAGAGGACGGATAACTACAGTTCGGACTAGTACAGGAGCTAGAGGATCCTCCGTAGGAAGGCTTTGCAGACGGAGCAGAAGAACAAGTCGAAGCTTAGTTACCTCTTTTAGTTAGTTGATGACCCTAGTTTATTGTTGTAGTACTTTTAGTTTCCGCCGGATCATTGTATTTTATATTTTTCTAGCATTTCATTCAGATAGTTTTGTATAAGGGCATGTTTGGCCCAAATATTATGTCTGGGATGATGTTTCAGTTGTGACATGTATTATTTTGTTCTGAGTCGTTTATTATATTCTCGCTACTGTGATCGGGGACCTATGCATTTGCTTTATATTTGCTTGACGCTTAGCGTATTAGATTGAGCAGAAGGGGTCTAGTACTTATTTCTCCCCAGTCTAATACGTCACGGGCTTGTTCACATTCCGATTCCTGGTATTTTGGGAAGCGGGACGTGATAATTGTTAAGGTCATTAACCTGCGGGTACAGTCTCAAATTGGACAGGATAAGAAAGAGCGATGAGGTTAAAATATGATTTGGGATCAATACGCTAACACCTATAACTTTTAGGTTAAAATGAGTTTCTAATCTTTATTTAAAATCCATTAACTCTAAATTGAGCGTGAATACTCCTGATCAAATGCTATCAGAGCTAATTGTATGTTCCAAGTAATTTTTTTAAAAAAAAATAGAAACCTGAAGGTATGAACATCATGCAAAAAAAAAAAGCTTAAGTTTAGCGG